CCATCAGCCACAGGATAAAATCTAAGAGTTCAGCTAAAGTTACAAAGCTTCCCATGCTGCGCCGTTGCTTCAATTTGAGTTCCCCCAGAAGCAAAGACTGAGATAAAGACAGGGGAACTGGGAGTTTGAATTCAGGTGAAAGACAATGTGACCGGAAAGGAGAGAAAGCCAACCAAGAGCTTGTTGGTGAGCTGATCACAGATGGAGTGTCCCTCTAGGAGACAGGAGGAGATGGACATTTGCCTTCCACTCTTTCAGCCATATTGGTTGAGGGCATGGCTGCCTCAGGAGCATTAAATCCCACCCAATCCCTTCTTCTAGGCTGAGCCAGTTCCCAGGAACTGGAAAGACCTGAGGCTGACAAACTCAAAGATACCACTGGTGTTTGGGGGAGAAGCTGTCCAATGGTTGTATCTGTAGCAGGGGAGGGTCAAAGGGAGGTAGCCCTGGGCACCAATAGCATCGGTTACCCCTCTGCGCCTCCCCATGCCCACCCCCCCAACACAAATTACATCTTATCCATACCAGAGCACTTCCCCTGGTGTATCAGGCTTTCACCAGTCCCTTCTGTCTACTCAGCCTCTTCATTCTGCTAAGAATACCTTTGATCCATCTGCTATTTAACCCTCAAACCTCAAATGAAGCAGCACCTGCTCTGTAAGCCTTTCTAGAATTCCTTAGAAAGGTTTCTGATCTCCTTTGCCTCTGCTAACACCATAATTGTCCAAATCTTCCCCACATCCAATCTTCTATGCTGAGTTCTAATTATCCGTGTCACTTCACTACACTGTAAACTCTTTCAAGACATGGCAATTTTTCTTCCATGCCTGCTTGGTGTTAGTTCTAGAAAGTCTTGTAGGTCTTCGTAGAACTATTCAACTTTGGCTTCATCAACATTAGTGGTTGGGGCATAGACTTGGATTACTGTTGTTGCTGAACGTCTTGCCTTAGAAACAAACAGATCATTGGGTTTTTGAGACTGCATCAAAGTACTGCAAATTAAAACCAAGAACAAGTCAATAAACAGCAAGTAGTCTAATAACTTATTCATTCTTGCAAAGACCTTCTCCAAAGCCAGTGATGCCTTATTGATTACACAGTTTAGACATTTTATACATAATATATCTATATCATTTAACGTTTAGTACTCATTTTAAGACACCAGGGCTTCCCAGGTGGCTCAGTTGGTAAAGAATCTGCCCGCAATGCAGGAGACCCAGGTTTGATCCCTGGGTGGGGAAGATCCCCTGAAGAAGGAAATGGCAACCCACTTCAGTATTCTTGTTTGTGAAATCCCATGGACAGAGGAGTCTGGTGGGCTACCCCACTCTGGGAATGCAAGAATCAGACACAACTAAACCACCACCACCATTATTTATTTTGTTCAGGTAACTGTACCCAGCACATTTGTAGTTTATTAACAGAAGGTAGCTTCATACCAACCAAAGTGTTATTAAGCATAATTTAATAGAGGGAATAATAATTTAAGAGGAACCAGAGATCAAATTGCCAACATCTGTTGGATCATCAAAAAAGCAAGAGAGTTCCAGAAAAACATCTACTTCTGCTTTATTGACCATGTCAAAGCCTTGGACTGTGTAGATCACAAGAAACTGTGGAAAATTCTTAAAGAGATGGGAATACCAGACCTCCTGATCTGGCTCTTGAGAAATCTGTATGCAAGTCAAGAAGCAACAGTTAGACATGGAACAACAGACTGGTTTCAAATAGGGAAAGGAGTACGCCAAGCCTGTATATTGTCACCCTGCTTATTTAACTTACATGCAGAGTACATCATGAGAAATGCTGGGCTAGATGAAACACAAGCTGGAACCAAGATTGCTGGGACAAATATCAATAACTTCAGATATGCAGATGACACCACCCTTATTGCAGATAGTGAAGAACTAAAGAGCCTCTTGATGAAAATGAAAGAGGAGAGTGAAAAAGTTGGCTTAAAACTCAAAATTCAGAAAACTAAGATTATGGCATCTGGTCCCATCACTTTATGACAAATAGATGGGGAAACAGAGAAAACAGTGACAGACTTTATTTTTTTGGGCTCCAAAATCACTGCACATGGTGACTGCAGTCATGAAATTAAAAGACGTTTACTCCTTGGAAGGAAAGTTATGACCAACCTAGACAGCATATTAAAAAGCAGAGA